TTATTGCTTTTCTCTGTTTGCCAGCTTGCAAAATTGCTTTTCAATGTTCAGTGAGGTGCCAGAGGCCAAATGAATGCAAAATACATCTGATCCTTAGGTTAAAGATGGTAGGAAATGCAAAAATATTATTATCACAAAATCAGCTTAAAATGTGTAGACTCTGAGGTATTTGCAAACCAGTACTGGAATGTATTTAATTTTCTGTACGTGTACCTCCTAGAGGTGTTGTTCTTTGTTGCTCTGTACATGAAGTCATCGCTTGGATGGAATAAAAACATGTACAAGTGAGAGAGGAAGACAGAGAAAGCGTATAGCGTGTGTGTGTGTTTGCTGAGTGGATGAAACACAGAAAACAGGAAGCAAAATGACAGCATGAGAGCGTTTTAGTAGAGTGTGGTTTCTCTCCTAAGCTTTTTCTGTTGTTTTGCTTCATTTTACAGTTTGCCCAGCTGGTGTCTGTCTACAAAACTCTGGGTCCAGAGAAGTTCCCTTTAATTGAGCAGACATTCTATCCAAATCACAAGGAAATGGTACGTGCAAATGCCAATACTAAATTTGCTTACTGTCTCTGTAAAGTCGGAACTGTAAATGCACAATTAATTCTCCCCATTTAATGTCTATTTTAAAAGCCTTTTTGGAAGCTTTCGGAGGGGTGAGGCTGGGTGACCGCTGGAAAGCACTGTGATGGTTAACTGGAAGGTTCTCAGATGTGAGGGCAGTCATTTTTCACCTAACCAACTTCAAATCTTTAATAGATTAAATGCTGATAAAGATACAGAACAGCTATTAAAGTGCAAGAGTTACTTTTGTGGTCTGTTTTCAGCCTAGTCCTTCATGATATGTTGGAGGTGTTTGTTATCTCAGTGGATGATGCACAAGGCTGTGTGCCTGACAGCGTAGAACTTTGAACTCATCTGAAACCAGGGTGGTTAGGGCTTGAGATCGTCATGTACCTGAGCTGACATTAATTCCCAGTCCTTTACAGACACAAAGTCATAAAAATAACACTTGCAACCTTTACTCGTGCCCTGTCCTATGCTGCAGGCATTTTTTTTTAATTTCTTTTCTTATGATTTTTAAATAGAATTTTTTCCCTGAGTATGTTTGTCTTGAGGAAATACTTTGAGCAGTGCGAGGGGCTGGAGGGAGGCTGTTTGCTGATTGAACAGACTGCCACAGAAGGGTGGGTTATTTTTAGAATGTAATCCATGCAGCATATGTCACACAGCTGGGTTTCCCCTGCCATTGCAAGGTCACAATAAATATGTTAGTTAGTGTGTAAGGTCCCCCAGCTGTGAGTGCTGTGCCTCTCCTGAGACTCTGAGTGTCACTTCGTTATCAGAGGTAGCATCTAAGATAAGCCTCAGTGACAGCAGTTGACTAAGATTTCTCCTGAGCTCTTCTTTCACCCACATCTGGGTGACAAACACAGAACGGTGCAGTTCTGCCATGTCTTTGGATGTATTGCAAGAGTGGCCAGATGGCTCCTCCTACTGCTTTGCTGCTTCTCTCAGGTTTCTTTGGGCTATTAACCCACAGGTGTTTCCCCATCTTTCGTCACATGTGACATTCCACAAAAGAGCTTTCACCATAGTTGTGTATTTAGGAGATTTGGACACAGAAGTTTTGTAGAGCCAAAGGAGAAGGGTACTGATCCAGAGCAGCAGATCCAAATATTATCCCAGACAGCCAAATTTTTTCAAAATGGAAGGGGGTTTTGTTGATGGAGATTTGGTAATAGAAATGGATGGATCAGGAGATGTTGTGTATGACATTCCACAAAAGAGCTTTCACCATAGTTGTGTATTTAGGAAATTTGCTACACAGAAGTTTTGTAGAGCCAAAGGAGAAGGGTACTGATCCAGAGCAGCAGATCCAAATATTGTCCCAGACAGCCAAATTTTGTCAGAATGGAAGGGGGTTTTGTTGATGGAGATTTGGTAATAGAAATGGATGGATCAGGAAAATATACAACTTTATAAAATTTTATATATATATATATATATAATTTCGTCACATGTGACATTCCACAAAAGAGCTTTCACCATAGTTGTGTATTTAGGAGATTTGGACACAGAAGTTTTGTAGAGCCAAAGGAGAAGGGTACTGATCCAGAGCAGCAGATCCAAATATTATCCCAGACAGCCAAATTTTTTCAAAATGGAAGGGGGTTTTGTTGATGGAGATTTGGTAATAGAAATGGATGGATCAGGAGAATATACAACTTTATAAAATTTTTTTTATATATATGTACTTTTTTTTAATGCAAGGAAGAGCATCCCTCTTGGGGATTCATCCATAAAAGGTGAAGAAGCAGAACCCCATCCCATGTTCTGCAATATGCTTTGTAAATGGTAATAAGTTTTATATCTATCTTGGGGGTTCATCCATAACAGGTGGAGAAGCAGAACCATATCCCATGGTCTGCAATATACTTTGTAAATGGTAATAAGTTTTATATCTATTTTGCCCATAATGTCAAAAATTTAAGCTGGTTTATAATTCCCTGCACATAATTTATTGTTCTTTTTTTTCATTTTTTTTATCAGCTGTTATTCAGGCTCCCCAGGGCAGTGGTCACAGCCCCAAGCCTGTCAGAGTTCAGGGAGCATGTGGACAATGCTCTTCGTCATATTTGCTCTTAGTCATTGCTCTTTGTCAGTTTTAGGTGGCCCTGCAAGGAGCTGGGAGTTGGGCTCAATCATCCTTATGGGTCCTTCCAACTGGAGATATTCCTGATTCTGTAATTTTACTGAACTCAGAGTCTTTTAACACATTGCTAAATTGCAGTACATAGAAACAAAGAAAAAGCTCTATAGTTCTGGGAGAAGAATTAATGTTTTAGCTTTTAATTTTTACATAGTATGACCCTTCAGAAGGTCTACCAGTTGAATTGCAAACTGCTGTCGTGAACAACTGGTTGAATTAAAATTCAGTAACAGAACACAAACAAGAAAATGTCTGTGTGCTTATAAGGCATATATTGGTTAAGAGTATAACATACTTGAGTTGCTTTTCCCCTCTTTTGTTCCTCTCTATTGCTCATTAATGTCTGAACGGATAAGTTATTTGTCTTCTGCTTAAACTTTTGAATGTTGATGTTCTCCACAGCTGAATAATTTTTTTACATGTTTATCGTAATGAATGTTAATCTAGAGAAAATGAGTGCATTTCAGTGTTGCGTTGCCCAGGGTGGTTTGGAGGTGCTGTAATCACCGATTGTGGTGAAGCTCATTTGTTTGTTTTTTTTCCTCCTGAAGAAATTATTTGGAACTTTGCGTTTTGAGAAATAATCAGGCGATTATTTCGTGGTACAAGATAACATTGCATTCAAATTTCTAGAATGGGTTGCAAGATGGTCTGAATATCAGAGTCTTCTGGTTGATGAATTGAAATTGTGTTGTCCTATTTACATTTTGTTGGTTTTTTAAACACTGTTTATTAATAGCTGGCCTCGTTTGCATTTACTCTTATGGAATTTGGCATTTACGGTTTAAAATAATTTTTGTAGCTCCTCTGTTATTCCCCAAATCGTAACCTAGGGCTGTCTGCCTCTCCTCCAGTGCAAACCAGTTGGGGTGGGGGGAGCAGGGGGAGTCTCTGTGCGTTGAGTTCTCAGGGGAGCCTGCCAGAGCTGCGCTGGGGCTTCTCTTTCTGTTGCTTCTTTCCCACTATGGCAATCGTCTGTACCGAGTCTTTAGGCAGCAATAAAAGGTAAATAAACAAAGATGCCATTCTTTTGTGTAAAAATGGAGCTGCTTTAATGAAACACTTTTTGAAACAGAAACATTCATCTCAGACTGATTAAAACTATACAGAACGCTGTGAGGCTTTTTGAACTCATTGCTAGTTGAGTCATATCTACAGCCTTTCCCTCAGTAATTAGTTCCCTTTATTTCACTACATTCACACCTCTTATGTTCTCTGTCATGAAACAAAACAACAACCCGGCTTTTTCAACGCAATTGTTGGACAATTTAATTAAAACGTAACTGGAACATTGAGAAAAAGCCAGCAATATTCAAGGCGTTGTTTTTTCCACCGTTCACCTGTAAAATCTCCCTTCTCTGTTCTTCTCCCTGCTCTTATAAGTCATGTGAGTCATTTTCAAATTAAAATCAAATGGTGTACCAGGCTATATTTCTGCTCTGACCTTTCATATAGCATATACACAGTTTCAAGAAATAAAAAGAAAAGGTTGTAAAAATAATCGGCTGTTGATAATATATCAGTGCCACTGCTGTAAGAGTCTTGCTAGGAAAATAACATATTCAGAGTGCTGCATTGGAGTTAATCCTCTTCATAATCTTTATCAGTGCTGAATCTTAGGGAAAATAAAACCTCATTCTGAGGAGGTTTTTTGTAAAGCTTTTCTTGCTGTATTCTTTAATATGAGGGGGAAAAAAAAAATCTTTGTACCATCCGTTGTGACCGGTTTGGCCAGATTTATGCTCAGACAGGGATCAGAGTGGACGGCCGTTAATTTTGAAACACCTCATATGGGATATTTTATGACAGCTTAAATATAAAATGTTTTTAAATATGTCATACAGTTCATATTACAGTTTGGTCATAAATATCAAAGAAAACATTTATTTTTACAAGGTACTTAAGGCAGTCTGAGTTGGGTTAGTTGAGTTTAAGGTCTAATTTACTATAAAACTGAAGTAGAAACAGAACTATGTTGAGTTAAAAAGCAGAAAATATCTCTTTGCTGCAGAGTGCTATTCAAAAGGCACCATTGCATCAAAATGGATTTGGAAACAAATGTTCCTCTCTACATGCGTTGAATATTAATTAGCCCTGTGCTTGAGTCAGACTTTGTGTGGTTATTAAGCTCCTACAGCCTTGTCTAGGAATTGTTTTGGTTTGACATGAAGAAATAAGTGCTGTTGTTTAAGTCTTTCTGTAAATTAGTAATATAAATGCAGAGCACTGACAGCAAATAGCACTGTCAGTATTGTCTCTGCAATATCAGTTCCTTTTTGGAGGAATGTAGCCTTTTCATTATGTAAGTAGCCATAATAAGTCTATGGTCCAAATTAGCGTTAGGTAGCTTTTTGTTTGTCCTTAGCAAAGCAGAAAAAGAGCTAGGCTTTCCATTTGGCAACACAAATATATGGTGTTTTAATGTAGGATTGTAAATTCAAACAGCAAAACTGGTCTACAGTAAATAATAAATGAAGCTTTGACTATTAAGGGACATATATTCCTAAAAGGAATAACGACATTTCTTCCTATTGGCCTTGCACCATTTGAACTTGATTGGAATTGTACAAGTTTGGCTATAAAAATTTTAAGTAAGAACATTTATTCTCCCAATAGTGTTTTCAAACCTATCCTTTAAATACGGATTGATGCAATTGTCAAAATAAACATTAGAAACATGAACACAGTATGTCACAAAAATAATTTATACAGGGATTTTTTTTGCAAGTCTGTGTTCTCTATCCAATACAGCATATCGTAGGGTGTGACAGGATACGTGGAACATGCTGAATTTTATCTCTACGCTACTATTGCATCCAATTAAATGGAATTAGAAAAGCCTTATACACTTAAAGATGCTCACACTTTCTCTGCAAGTTTGTCCCAGTGCTTTTATGTGGCTGCTGGAGCAACCAGACTGAAGGCACTGTTTGGAAATCTGGACCCTCGAACCAACAGGCTGTAACAGCTCCGGTTCTTAATGAGCCTGTGGGCCAGAAGGGTCGTTAGCAGGGTGAGTAAAACGTTGGTGTTAGACCTTGAAGTAGCCCTGATCAAACCAAACAAGAACACAACTGTCCACATCTCTGCCTGTCATTTGAAGTTCACCTATGAGGAATACGTGAGGGTAATTTCTAGCCAAAATGGGAATGCAGTGAAGGAAACCCAACGGAGAGAACTGGAGAGGATAAAATACATCAGAAATGGCAGTTTTAGAGATTCATCTCCTGCGTGACAGTTCTCATCCAGTTTCTAGAACACAAGCAGTTGGACAACTGTCTAACCTTTGGCATTTACGGAAAAAATTTCTTAAGTTTTACCACTGTGAAATGAATTACTTTTGTAAACGTAAACATGTGTGAGATTAATTAACTAACTACAGTAATCAATTCATAGAAGTTAAGACACAAAAAAACTAAAAGGCAAAATCTGTTGTGCCACTTCTCCAGTATAAGTTCGTGAGTTACCAAATTCATTATGACAGAGTAGGATGGGTATTGATGAATGAAAAATCATTAATGCAAATGTAAACTATTAAATATGGTCAAACATTTGAGAGCTTTGCAGAAGTCACTTGCAGTGGAAGTTGTTCAGTACCTATTGCATGGATTTGGATGTGAGTTTCTAAAGCCAAGGCTTTAGCAGCTGAAATACAACGAGCAAGTCACAGATTTAGAGGCATTATCGAGTACCGCGGCTGCCGTGACGACGGACGTGGTTTCTGTAAATATAAGCAGTTTTAGCCTGTCGTTATTTGTGTTGGTTCCATAAAATGCAGAAATGTTAGAACATCTGGTTTTTCTTTCAACAAGTTATAGCCAGTCCATAGGAATATTGAATTGGGTAAGAGGATTTTGATTATCAAGGCTGTTTTTTAACTTAGTTATCAAGGAAGGCTACAACTATGTAGGTAAAGAAAGCTATGGTGTAAGTAACATACAAAATACGGAGCACAGATTGTTTTAATCACAAAGTGTTCAGTTTGTTTCAACAGATAAGGAAATACAGGATTTTTTGAATCTTTTTTTTATAGCACATTGTTATAATACTTTACATATACACTGTACAATAATTCTTTTGTATCAGAAAACTTTCATACAGAAAAAAAATAGTTCTATAAAACATTCCGTAGTTCATTGGAAAGACTTGGAATAAAACATGGGGCGCTCTTAATCTGTAGGTTAAGAGAATCAGGGGACACAATTCTGGCAATTCTTTTGTTCTTGTACATTCATATTGGTAAAGGGGCAACTCGTTATGCCTCAGAGGACACAGAGGAGCACTCTCAGCTTGAGCCTCTCTGTACAAAGCATAACTTTATGGAGAAGCTACCTCCAGGAGGCTTGTTCCTCATCTTGCGCGAGTGCCAATTCCCCAGACTCGTACTTTAGCTGTACAGGACAATTTGTTTTTGTTTCTAAGCAACAGATACATTAGAGGATGGCAGTTCAAAGCTGTGAGCGTGCAGTGTTGGATGGTATTGGGCTCCAAGGCTTTTTAGGAAGTGATGGTTTTAAGGTTCGCTGATATCAATAAACTCTTTCTCTGGGGGAGGACCACCTCGGTACCAGCTGCAGGTGCCATCACTTCTCTTGATGCAGGCGTAGTGCTTGGCTTGGTGCCCGTAGAGCTTTCTTTCGATCAGCCAGTCCGTCCAGAGGCACTCGTTTGGTGTGGTGATGGAACAGGGCACCATGTAGCAGGTCGTGATCTAAAGGGGAAGCAGCACGTTAATTCAGTATATCGCAGCTGTCTTTAAAATGGTATTATAAAATACAGGGTGTGTAAGAGAGCACTTCCCACCAGCGAAAGCTGCTAGTGCTGTAAGGTTAGGCAGGGTTTCATTCTAGACTTACTTTGCAGCCACAGCCCATTTGATATCTCTGATTAAGGCTCTTCTTCTGCGACAAGGATAAATCGTCCCATGGTTCGATGTAGTTGCATAAATGGATGAGGACTTTACCGTCATTTAAAATTTGTCCTACGGCGTGGAAAATAAGAAAAATAAGGCAAGCAAATTCAACTGTTTTCTAAATGCTGAAATAAATTGCATGAATACCTGAAGTTTTTAACTAATTGCAGCAAATTAGTCATATTTCACACTTTTTTTCTGTGAATGTAATTACAACTGAGAGAACTATTCTGCTGATAGCGTGCTGGATAAACATAAAAGATTTAAGAAGGACATTTTTCAAAAGGTGTTGATAATCTGCCAGCAAGGGATGGATATGAACGTTAAACTACATTTCAAGACTCTAGAAAAATCTATCATTATTTAGAATCCCAAATCCACATACAGGTGGGCATGTGTTGTCTCATAAAGCATGTTTGCATTCCTGGGAAAATCGGTATTGTTGGTTTTAAATAATAATGGCATACTTCCTATTTACTAATTACACAGTCACTGACTTGACTTCCTTTGAAACTACTTTAAGATTATTGGTTGAAGGATGGAAAACGTCTAAGATCGCAGTATAATTACAGCTTTACACAATTTGTATATTTCATTGTGTTTGTATGATTTAGTACATAAATACATTATTTTTTAACAAAGGCTGGCATATTTTTGCAAAGTCAATCTAAGAGGTTGCTTTGGGCTTTATAGGTACATGAGTTTTGTTGCATTTTACCTGTCAGAAGGTACTGTTTTTTGTTATTAGCTTCTAGTTTCACTCCACAGAGTGACGAATCAAAAGGGGTATAGACGTACTGGACATCCTTGAGCTTTTCAAATCCTTTAAACATCTGAAAATTACCAGAAACAGAAAGTCAGGAGTGAAAAAAAAAAAAACATGAAAAAAACAGTTGCAAACAACAGCTGAAAGAAATAATGGTGCAGCTCTTTAAAAAAGGCTCTAAAGTCTGAGAAAATACCAACGAATTAGACCCCTCCTCTAACTAAATGAACTGGGACCATTATTTTTAGAAGGAAATTAGGTCTTAATTTTTTTAAGTTAAAGGAGTTAAAATGTGCTTGTTTTTAATGGATCTTTAAAACTTTCGCTCCAATCTATATTGTACTGGTGTCTTCTCTTTAAGGAGTAGTGCAGGGACAGCATTGCTCTCAAACAAGGTGCTGCAGCATCAGAAGATGCAAAAATTTCTCAATATATTAATGTGGGGAATTTGATGTTGAGCAGTGTGATGGTGTGGATCTCCAGGACGTGAAACACGCTGAGAAATGGAGCATTGCTCTCATATTTGATCATTAAAACTAGCTGGTTTTCCACATCCAGAATTATCCCCAATGTGACCTTCTCAAATAGCTGTTGGAAAATGGGATGCAGCTCTGGGAATGAATGGGGAGGTTCGGGATCAAAGCCTGTGCCGTGGTCAGACTGCCCTTTCCCACCAGGAAAGTCACTCTTAAATGAGCCATGAAAAGATCAAACCCAATCGGGTGGTGTCCGAAGGTGAGAAGGAACCATAAGATGCTAATCAACCTTGGAGTGGCTGTCATCACCTCTGATGATGACAGTGAGTCCCCAGCCTTCGGGGGCCCCGCTGGGTGCCATCAGGATCACTCTTAAATGAGCCATTAAAAGCTCAAATCAGGTGGTGTCTGAAGGTGAGAAGGAACCATAAGATGCTAATCAGCCTCGGAGTGGCTGTCATCACCTCTGATGATGACAGTGAGTCCCCAGCCTTCGGGGGCCCCGCTGGGTGCCATCAGGCTGTGTGTGACACTGGGGACAAGAGGGAGGCCGGCGGCTCCCCGGGGCAGCTGGGGACACTTTGGAATGCTCTCCCCTTACCTTCTCTCAGGGGGTTCGGATGCTACGGGGCACTAGAAAATAACACTCTGAAGCCTTGATTATGGAATTAAAAAAAAAAAAGAGCCAAAATTGTTGTCATTGGGCTTCTCATCCAAAAATACTAGATGTGAATTTTCTTAGTAGGAAAAACAAACACACTGAACCAAACCCAACCAAAACCCAAACCAGTATCCTGTACGAAGCAGTGGAAATAGTAGAAAGCGTATGTGACGATGATGGAAATATGTCTAATTCTATTAGATGAAAGTAGTCTGGTGTATCAGCCCAGTATAACAGTCGTTGGACCAGGTGCGGGCTGGGTGTGTGTTGGGAGACTCTGCCCGATGGCCAACCCAGCGCTTCAGGAGCAGCTCCATGCTCCTTCTGGGACCTGTTTGGTTCCTGCCATCTCTGAAAACTGAGTCCCCTGCTTCTGCTGTGCTTAAATCCAGTTTATTCAAGGTGAGGGTACCTGACATGGATGTCTAGTACAGAGTAACCACGTGTCCCTGCTTTGGGTGCTCTCCACATTGGTTGGGCTAGAGTGTATAGCAGGGGACAACTTTTAATACCTCATCACTTGATCTAAATTAACTTAAGGCATTAAGCAGACAACACAAACTGATTTAGCTATTAAAAAACTATCCATGGCAATTGGTAATGGAGACCTAGTTAATATTTAAATGAGTTTGGTGTTCGTTTTGCTGAGGTTTTTTTCGATGCTTGAATTTTTTTTTAAATTAGGGTCTGCCTTATCTTGCGTTTTGACCTAGATATTTCTTAAAGTATTTCAATTTCCATCACAATTGATAATGGAGACCTAGTTAATATTTAAATGAGTTTGGTGTTCGTTTTGCTGAGGTTTTTTTCGATGCTTGAATTTTTTTTTAAATTAGGGTCTGCCTTATCTTGCGTTTTGACCTAGATATTTCTTAAAGTATTTCTTAAGATTATAATCTTCTGTTTAACTCAGTAAATCATATTTGATCTTCTCAATCATATTCTTCCATCTCCTAAGAGTGTGGACACTTTCTCTGTGAGGGGTTAAGATGGTTGACTCAGCCCTGCACTGTGCTATGGTTCATTTATGTCCAGGTTCTGGTAGGACTTCATTGAGGGAGGAAACAAAGGTGAGGAATTGGGAGATCAGAGAGATGTGAGCCTGGTACTAAAGTCTATATTCACACTGTCCCTGCCCTTCTGAGGTACAGAACTGAGACCAAGATTGTAGAATACCTTTTTTTTCCAAATAATATCTGTATTATTTTCAGTGCCTCTGGCATGTTGCTGTAGTAATAAGTACAGTCTTCTACTTTCTTTATTCTCCAAGCCTTTTCAACTGTATCATGGCTTATTTTCTGAGCTTTATATAGTGATTAATATCAATCTTTAAAACTGCAAGCATCCTTGTAATCCTTGTGTTTATCATCAATACCTCCTCGTATTCCCACGTGAGGGGACACCACCCTCTCGCTAAAGAAGTCTGATTCTTTCAGTGGGTTTCCATCCATGCAGCTTGTGTGCAAAAAACATAGCAATTTTGGTTATACTACTTCAATTTGGTAAACTTATCGATTTCATGTATGACAGTAGTATCTTGTGCTTTACTTCACTACTCTGATAGCATCGGGCAAAGTCCCACAAAAGCTAGTGGCACTGTTTTAATGTTTAGCTGACTCCTCAGGGTGGACAGGATGACCAAGTCAATAGCAATAAAATTGTGAAGACAAATAATCAATTGCATATAAATCACATATTTTCTTTTATCTTTAGTATAATGCTGTAAATATTGCAATAAAAGAAAATAACCGTAATTGAAAAAAACGTACGGCAGCTTAACGTGCCAACCAATATATATTAAATGAATAAACCTCCTCATTATTCTTTTTTTTTATTTCTGAAAATGACTAACAAAATCATATTTAATATTTCTGTACAAAAATGTGAAAATATCCTTCATAGTTTGAGACAACAGCAAGTGGCAGATGATGGAGAGTTTGGGGGTTTGTTTCAGCAAGGTGAAACAAATTGGCTTGTTGAAATTGCTATAAAACCTTAACACAAGTCCTGTGTGAAAACCATCCATGGGAATATTTTGAGATATTCTCATTTACCATGGATGTTTCTTAGTAAAACTCCTGTGAGGTTTTCTACTGATACAATGTGAAGGGGTGTATTTTTTTTCTAAAGCATCTAACTCTTCATAATGATCTCCTTAAGGGTTCCCAGTAAATGAAATAATACAAATGAATGCAAATAATACAAAATAATATTCTATTAAAAATGAGAGATAAAACCAACCAGAAAACTTAAAACAACCAACCAAACCAAAAAAACCCAACAACCCACCAATGCACAGTAACACTTTTTCTTTGAGAGAGACTGCCTGTCTTTTGGGTATTCCAGAGACAGGTAGATCATGAGCTTTTTTACATCAGTGAGAGTTTGATGGGGACTTGAATGGGATCAAGAAATGTCTTCTTAAAGTACATTGATGAATATGTCTCCTTGTTGGAGCTGAACAAATAATGGAAAAATCCTCTGAGATTCTGAATGACTGCATTTTTGGGTGCTCCTGCTTCGTGTTTGCTTTCCCAGCAACATTCACACAAATGGATTTTTGTTCATATGAATATTAGGGAAGGTCTCCCGTTTCTGCAAATATCCCTATTCAGTTATGAACAAAGGTCCTTGCTGTGTCAGCTGGAAATGTTTTCTTCGGTTTATAAAGTTCGCATCATCCAGGCAGAGAGTTGCAATATCATAATGGGACAGAGGTGAGCAAGTATCCACCAAAACCAGATGGATTTTAAATTTTTTTTTTATTTTATCTTTACTTTGATTTATTCTGTGTAGTTCCCCTGGGTCTCCCCTGTGGAGGCATCAGGAGCCTTTCCCAGCTTAAGGCATTGAGGGCTAAATTGTACTCATATACATAGTTTATCAGCATTGAACTTCAAAATAGCTGAGTGATTCCATGTACCTTTATTTGTTTGATTTCATACCGGATCATTTTGTGGGTATCAAGAGGATCATCACTGGCAGGAACCACCTTTTCACTGGTTATTTTTGCTCGAATAACTGTAATAGAGAAAAAGATTTAAATGTAAATTAGCACATGCCTAATTTTACAAACAGTAGTGAAAATTTTAGTAATAAATTTTAGCATTGTTTTACACTTTAGCTAGAAGTAGATTTTAAGGCTTGTTGCTACAACAACACTAGACTGAGTTAACTCCTGAAAATAAAAATAGGTGGGCTGCTGATGTTATAAATCTGAATTTTGATGAATCTGGAAATCTGAATTAAGTTACCACTTGGTTTTGACAAAAACTGTCCATCAAAATCTTTTAAAGACTCGAATCCCATGAAATTTTATATAACCCATCATAGTCAGTGAGCAAAAGAAAGGGACACTTCTGTTGGTGACAGAAGAATTGTTGATCAGTTAAATAACCTTGAAGTTAACACTCTGCAAGACCGTGCCAGACAAGATTAAAGCATCATTTTCATGCACGAAATCAGAATACAGGAAGAGAAGAGTCTTTAATTCACTTTTCTGAGACTGTAAACTTTAGCATTTTTCTTAACACGTCATTGTGTTAACCTGTATAAATTACTTATTCCCTCTTTTGACACATTTTATTTATTTCCTATTCTTTAAACAAGGAAAGTATGAGACTTTATGAAAGAAGAAATGGTTTCTTTTCCTATCTGCTTGTTTGAAGCATCTCTCTTGTGTGTGCTGTTTAAAATACCCCAGGGTTATCAGGCACAGAGAATGAGGGGACTCTACGAATATGGTAGATGGCCAGAATTTCTCTGGGGACTTCTGTCACCCAAAAAGTATTTAGAGTTGTGTTTTTGCTCAGTTCTGGATGGCGATTACAGCCCCTCTGCAGATGTCGTGCTTGGTAGAACAAGCAATCAATCTGTATCTGCATGGAGAGATACTGGCAAAGGCTGGAGCAGTCAACGGTCCAACCCCAGGGCAGCTGTAAGTCCAGTTCACAGCTGGGCAGAGGAGGAGCTGGGTGAGGACATCTGCAGCTGCAGCTGCCGTAGAGATCAGAAAACGTTCTTCAGTATGAGAGCAACTCTCAAACACTTTATTTTCTTTGTATTTTTCATGACAAAAGGAACCATTCTATCAAAGTTAGTATGAAACAGGCATGATGTTTTATGGAAGAAGTTGGGTTAGAAGGAGCCTCTGGAGGTCTAGTCACACCTCTTGCTCAGCTTGAATCGGGACGCTCAGGGCTGCGTCCAGCTGAGTTTTGAGTATCTCCAAGGATGGAGATCCTGCAGCCTCCCTCAGCCCCTATTCCAGGGTTTGACCACTCTTACAGTGAACTCCTTGTGCTTCCTATTCACTGAAAAAAATAGCAAGCTGATGCAGAGGAAACCCTCTTGGCATCAAAATCATGCTTTTCCCAAAAAAGCATTTCTTTGGTAGATTGACCTCTAAACGTCATATCTAAAGAAAAGGAATAAGAAACCCAGATTGTAATTTTCCTTACAGCTAAAGAGAGGCGTGCTTCCTATTCACGAAGGATTCCTCCTATTCCTATTCCTTGCTAAAAAATAGCAAGCTGATGCCGAGGAAACCCTCTTGGCATCAAAATCATGCTTTTCCCAAAAAAGCGTTTCTTCGATAGATTGACCTCTAAACATCATACCTAAAAAGGAATAAGAAACCCGGATTGTAATTTTCCTTACAGCTAAAGAGAGGTCAGCCCCATCTGATCATAGGCAATTCTCATTTCCTCATTTATTAGCACAGCAAACTGGATGTAATAATCAACGTGATGCCTACCGCTTCAGAGCTTAGCCCTCTATCTTTTTGGCACAGCGCTCCCTCCTCCCAAGCTATTTAAAGTCTTTTAAAGGAGCATTGTAGGCTCATGGGTTGGATTGGAAGGAAAGAGTTCTTTCAAGTATGAGCAGCAAATTCTTCATTTCCAATGGTAAGTGGCAGCATCTCTTTAATCATCTGCAGATGCGTTACGTTCCCACAAATTAACAGTACTTCTTAAGTGCTTTGATCTAATTCCAGATAAAAAGCGTTGTGGATTGTGTGTACTCTACTGCTGGAAAGGTCAAATCAGAATGGCACTGTTTTGTTTTGCTTTGCTTTGCTTTCCTTTGCATCATTACTTCCTAAAAAAAAGTTTTTCTCACTAAAGAGTTCATTCAGTGCAGAAGGTAAGGGGTGAGGTGGCAGTTTGGAGTTAGCTCCAGTATTTTCTTAATGCCATAACGGGCTTTATATGTGGGAAATCTTTTCCTGCCTACTCAATGCAAACATTTGTAGGATAATTAAAACTACTTCTCTTCTTGTGTTGAATGTTGAAACATTACTCATTTTCATATTTTTACTAAATTCTGCTTGTTAGCATCTGAGGGGAACATTGCAGGTGATCAGTGTTGGCTTAAAGGGTCTCCATGGAGTTACCCAAGGCTGAAAGTACAACATTTGGGGGTTGTCATTAAGAGATCTTTTTTCTGGGTGTGTGGAAGAAAAGGAAAACTATTTTTATGTTGTGTGTGTTTCATTCATTTGTTTGTTTAAGAGAAAGCTTCCAGATGGTAAAGATGACCAAACTGGGATTTTTCTTTGTGAACGTCAAGAAGGTTTTAGTGTAACAGGATGTCTCAATCTTTACTTATTTGGGTTTTACTTCTCTGTTCTCCTGAAATCAGATTCAAATGCACACAGATCTTTTGGGCCTTTCAATCCCTCTTGCTTTTCTTTTTTCTGTGCTTTGATATGATTTTTTTTTTTTTTCAATCAGTGTCGTCTCGCTGTCTCCTAAACCCTCTTATTCATGTGGTTGCTTCTGTTTCTAACCACAAGCGCTTCCTGGTGCAGCGTTCCTGGGCCTGGCCATCTCCCTCTCTCCACTCGTGGTTCAGAGGGTGGTTAGAACTTCGGATTCCTCCTACTCTGCACTTCTTTTCAAGGAATGGTTTCAAGTGTACCAGGGCTGGCTCAGCTTCTCCTCTTGGACCGAGAACAGCCTCTGGTCCTTTAGTGCGATGATGTCATGTTATCTGTCAGACAGTTATGGGTTCCTTATGGGGAATTTGCATATATTAAATACATATGCATAGCCTTCCTGCCCTAATGCCGATAGCTCACTCTGCCTCAAATGCATTCCTCATTCCTCAGAAGAGGAACCATACTGGGAGTGACTGGTCCCGGGGCTACTCGGAGCCCGTAGCGCCGAGTGGCCACCCCCCTGAGCCCCTGCCGGGGGGGACAATGGCCATTGCGTCCATCACCCTGGCCATGGGGCATTCCTTACTAGAAAAGGGTTAAGGGTATTTTTAGTCCTTCTCTCCTGACTAACAAGAAGCATCTCCCAACCGTTTCTACATGAACAAAAGCTAATTTTGAGCCAGGTAAAGGACAGAATTTACTTTGTATAACATCAGATATATTTGTGTTTATACAGTCAGGAGAAAAGTGTGGGGTTTTGTACAAGGCAAAAGTATTTATATACAATACAGGTAGAAAATTAGGCATGAACTGTATCTTTCCCAAACCTCCGTGATTTATCTCTGAAATTAGCTACACTAATTATTTACCTGTAAATAAACCGTACCACTAGAGATTTTATGACCATGAGGAACTACTAATGCTAAGGGCTTTTTAAAAAAGAAATTCATTGCCTTTAGGTTAGTTTTACCACACTAAAGTGACAGATGCAATGAAATATGACCATCTTTTTCATGGAAGAGGAGACCCAAAGAACTGAGCAGTTTTCTGAAGTCCCTGTACCATCCCGTAGGCATAGATGGAACCAGAATAAAATAAATCTTTCTGGTTTGCCCAGTGAAATTCATGTCCCCTAAAAGTAGTATCTTCTTAGACTGAGTTATTAGGCACTAACAAAGGGAAAACTGTTTAGTGAAGAATTACTCTCATTGTTCCAAGTTAGTATTATTAAATAATATATTCTTTATGATACTATTTTATATAGTGTTGTACTTGTACAAGTTTTAAGGTGACGCCTGTTCAGCGCTTCTCCTTAACCTCTTGGTCACAGACAGTGCTGTAGTTTGAAGACAGGCAACTTTACTCTCCCTAAAAGTAGTATCTTCTTAGACTCTGAGTTATATCTAAGGCACTAACAAAGGGAAAAGTGTTCAGTGAAGAATTACTCTCATAGTTCCAAGTTAGTGTTATTAAATAATATGTTCTTTATGATACTATTTTATATAGTGTTGTCCCCTAAAAGTAGTATCTTCTTAGACTGAGTTATTAGGCACTAACAAAGGGAAAACTGTTTAGTGAAGAATTACTCTCATTGTTCCAAGTTAGTATTATTAAATAATATATTCTTTATGATACTATTTTATATAGTGTTGTACTTATGAAATTTTTAAGATGACGCCTGTTCAGCGCTTCTCCTTAACCTCTTGGTCACAGACAGTGCTGTAGTTTGAAGACAGGCAACTTTACTCAACAAAAGTAGTCAACTTTATTATTCCTTCAAAAATGAAAACAAATGGGAGTTCACTCTCCAGAATAACTTTATTATCCTAAGAAATAGGAGATAAAGGGAGAAGGTAAAAACTGATGAAGAAATGAGCTCTTTTTTCCCCAGTATCTGTCAAGTATCAGCAACTATACAATGAAAAAGACTTATATAGGAAAATATTTAAGATATTACTGAACAGAAGAGCAAGAAATCATAACTGCTCATGTGCATTCTTATTTTAAATATATAAACCTAAAAATAAATAAAATATAAGTAAAAAAAAAAATGTTGCTAAGAAAAGTATGAATTTTAAAGATGGACAGGTAGGGAGGCAACCTCTTGGAGCTTTGAAAATCTGACTGTAGCTGGCAAGTGTGTTAAGATCACACTACTACGAGAAATACAGACTGTTTAATGTTAATTAAACTGTTGTTTTACTTAAGCTGGCTTTAGTTCAGTGTTTTTGTCTCTGGGGTATGATTTCAGAAAAAAGTATTTCACTGTCTTCTAGCATTAGATTTATAGATTATTATTATGGTGGATGCATCCTGTTTCAAATATTCATAGAACCATAGAATGGTTAGAGTTGGAAGA